AGAGTATCATTAAAAGTAAATTGAAGACAAATCTGCAAACATTTTTAAAAAGGGAAAAATAATTATCTACTATAGCATCACTATATTTTTATTTTAAAAATTAAAGCTGATGTTTCATATGTGTAAACCTATCAATTACACACTGTCCTATTTTATTTTCCATTGCTATGAGAAACACAGTGAGCAAAAACAACTTAGGGAGGAAATGATTCCTTACAGTTTGTAGACTCATGAAGGGTTGTTGGGGCAGGAACTCAGGGCCACAGCTGGATGCAGAAACTGAAGCCAAAACCATGGAAGAACACTGCTTGCTCACCAGGGCTTCCTTAATTTGCCCTTTTATACACCCAGCAACATCTGCCTAGGGGTGGCACCTCCCACAGAGACTGGGCCCTCTCCCATCAATCATTAGTCAAGAAAATGCTCCCATACACCTGTGGGCCAATATTATGAAGGCATTTACTCAACTGTGGTTCCCTCTTCTCAAATGACCTGAGCTGGTGTCAAGATGACCAAAACCTAATCACCACTAAGACATGCGCACTGGTACTCAAGAGCTTCTGTAATAATTCCTAACATGAATTAACAGTTGCCATCTCTTGGACATAGATAGTTTCATCTCAATTTTCAATCTATATCATATACTAAACAAAGGGATGTCACTGGTTTAATAAAAAAAAAATGAAAAAAAAAATTGTCCATCACAGAGTGTTAAAAAGCTGAATGTATGCATTAGTCATCTCTATTTTTATTTTGTTGTTTCAGTGACTTTTAAGTTTGAAGTTAACCAAAGGTTTTAAGTGAAACTTTCTATTTATGTGGTATTCATCCCCTATTATTTCCAACTGTGCTATATAAAACGCATTAAAATAATTAATTTCACATGCATGTCTTAATACACACAGCAAAGAACAATTTATAGTGTGAACAGTAGCTGGTGCAATTCATTCTTCTTATGCCAATTTCACAAGAAAGGAACTAATAAACATACAAAATCATTTTAAAATATAAATTTAATGACAAATATTAAGTCCCACAAACTAATGGAAGGAGCTGATAATCTCGACCTGATTCCTTGTGAGAGAGCCAACACACTGGGGTATGGATTCAGAGTTGAGCTAAGGAAACTGCTAAAGTTTTTAGCAATGTGGAATGGAAAAATATAAAAGAATGTTCTCCAGAATTCAGTAAATAATAATGTAGTGTCTATACCAAGGGCCAGATAAGTCAGACAAAATTATCACACCTAGTGTAGCTGACACTGGAGAATGATGGGAAAAGAATGTGTTCAAAACTAGGCTGACATTTTTTTACATTGTTCACCTTTACTAAAAACATGAATATTACAAAGTATCTCTGCTTTGATATAATAAATAACCACTCTCTCTTCACTTGAAAAGTAGTTTATCAAAGGAAAGAGAAAGCAACTGAAGGAATTTCAAACATGCCTTAACTTGAACCACATGGGTAGCTTTAATTCTTTATAAGTTTGGCTCCTTTGACTTCCAATTATAACTTCTGAAACAAAATCTCTGAGGGTGCAGTCAGAGGCCACACTGAGTTAGTGATCTTTTCAGTACATCTTATCAACCATGCATTCATGGCTTGGAGGTCCTCTATAAAACTTTTAGTCTTTCAAGATGGCCTATGCACTTAGAATCAATAACCTCTGTATACATCAAAATGCATTTTTAAAATTATAAAATTTTCATCAACATTCATATAGCATATAATGGAATTTCAAAAAAAAATCATGCATATGACTGTGGTCCCATAACATGGAGACAAACTAAAAAATTCCTGATGATGAAAATTATTGTGTATGATATATAATACTTGATGATAAATGAGCATGTTTGTATATATTTTTTATACTACACATTTTGTTATTGTAGAGTGTACTCCTTTTACTTTCTTTAAAAAGAGAGTTACTGTAAAACTGCAGCAGCCTCAGAAATGTCTGGTTTACTAAGACTTTTAGCTACATTATTTTCTCTTGTGCTTCCTTTAAACTTTTATCGCTTTACTGATAATAGCACTGGGAACACTGGACTCGATTCTATGTCTATCTAAATAAACACATGTATAGATAAACTCATATAGAGATCTGGAGATATGTCACATATTATAAGCATGTTCGTTTGCTTTAATACCCTTTCTATATAAAAATGTATTATTAAAATTATAAATTATTCAACTACATTCTTTCACCACATAGTGACATTTCAATCAAAGATTAATCAAAAACATGATTGTGGTCACATGACATGAAAACAGAATTAAATTTCCCCTCACCTAATGATACTACAGCTGTCATTAATATATAAGTACAGCACATTGTTCATGAGTTTGTGCTCAATTTGATACAGTTTGACTGTTTTGTGAACCATATAATATACTTCTAATAATAATTATAATATTATCATAATGAGATAATAATTAATAATAATGTATAGTAATATATAAGTATGCATTACATGATGCTTTCACAAGGATGAACATCCCCAGTGATACACACCTCCAAAAATGTCTATATCACTAATTGAATGTACATATTAGTTATCACAAGGAAAAATATTAGCCAATGAACAAGCTGTTCCTAAGGTACTTTAAAAACAAAATTATAATTTATATGCCTACTTGATACAGAAGTGATATCAATTTAGCAATGAAGGTATAACTTTTTCAATTATAAAAATAAATCAGATTCTGAGAGAATTCAATGGGTTAATGAATTAAACAGCAATTCAAATTTTAGGTAAATGTACAATGTCCAAATGCTATCTAAGAGTTTATGCAAGCACCATTTTTTCAACCAAGGAGTTAATATATTTCTATACCAGCATATATGTTTAAAGTAATTAATAATGAAATGTCCACATCTGCAAAATGTTTAGTACAACTTATGAAAGATCAAAAAACTAAACTCATGTTATAAACTTAGATGTTTATGGGCAAAGTTTTCGAAAGTATTTTCCATAGTTTATGGTAACTGCACTTCACTATTGTAAATTCAGTGATGACCCATGGACTGGTTTGTCTGTTCCAACGTAAATACCTTTCCTTTCACAGTTAGTTCTTCAGATCACAGTCACATCTATAACATTATGATTCTTGATAAAACTACAGCTTGTAAGAAGGAAAAATGCATTTGGAAATAATTCTTGTTTGAAGAGTTAACCTTAAAATAAAATCTTTGAAAAAAACTTCAGTCTGATAGTAAAGTACAAAAATGTAATTTCTGAATGTAACTACTGTTATATGTATTGATGATGTTCCCTTGTTCACCAAAATGACATTGAAAATCTTTTACCCTGATTGTTTGAAATACACCCTGAAAATAAATATTCAAGTTAAAGTGAGCACACAGATCTAAAAGTAGGTAGGTGAATCTAATTCACCAAGTATTTCTAAATTAATTTTTAATTATTCAGTATTCCCAGCTTTTAGGGTGGTAACTAACTTATGTCATCTTTTGATTGAAACTGAATGTTCAAATGACTTTGTAATTTGTAAACACAGTGGCAATTCATCTTTAAACATTTCATGGGATGGGCCAGGAATATTTTAATTTGATCTTCAGTCTCATGTCAATTTTATGAGGTACATTACTTACCCTCTGTTACATTTTGCTATTTCATCAAATAAAAGCTTCCACCGAGGGCGTCCAATAAAAAGCCTAGAATTCAGTGTGTGATATTTTTCTCCAATTATCTTCTGTCAAAAAAGAAGCACATGTTTTATAAGACATAACTTTCGATAAATAGCGCATTTCTCTTATATGAATTCACCTAGCCTATATCTGCTTTCCAAATTCCTATGACAAAAGGTAAGAAATGGAAATCTGTGAAGTACAATTATTTCAAAATGCCACTTGCATTTTCTTCTCCTTTAAAATTCAGTATCCTTTTGAATGTCATTTTTACAAATTGCTGACATACCTAGATCTTAGTTATTTGCATCATTTTTAATGAATTTAAAGTAAGATAAAGAACAAATTCCAGTTCATCACATTCCTGTTAAATAGGTTCAAAATTAAATGTCCTGCCATATGTTTGTACCTAAGTACAGTTATCATATTCTACTCATTACATGAGTAAATTAACACAAATTGTTATCACAAATTTAGGGAAATAACTCTAGACAAGACATCCCAAGACAGTAGAGTTCTAAATCTCCACCCTATCAACCAATGATGGTTAATGGGATCATTCTTGCAAAGAATAAACACTGCTTCTTAATTGACAGTGAACAATCAGAGGGAAATCACACACACACAAATACACACACACACACACACACACACAAATACACACACACACCGAGTTTTTTTTTTTTTTTTGTAATTCTGGAAATACAAGATTTACACCATTATACACCAAGATTCCCCACATTATACAGCTATCTGATATTTTCAAACAGTTTGTTTCACATCAAAATATAGACACTAATAGCAGACTAATTGTACCAATTAGTTTAGATGACACAAAATGATATAAGGAAAATCCTCAGCATAGTCGCTCTTATAGTAAACAATGCATGGTGGCTCTGTTTCTATGTCAGATTCCTCTGGGATGGAATAAGTTTAATTGGGTATGACTTAATCTTTTCTCACCATAGCAAACCTTCCCTCTATGGAAAAGGAGGTCTCCCTAGAAATACAGAACTTGAAATAACCCCAAAGAGGAAAGATGGAATTAAAAGGTTTGCTTCAGCGTGCTGTGTGGAGAACTGAAAGGCACAACAGGCTTGACTTCAAGGACAAGCTACGAGTTTCCTGGACAGATTCCAACAGAGGCTTTCCTCTAGGAAACCTCTGCTCAGACCTTCTGCAAAAACTGTCTTCCAGCACAGCTCTTCTAGTAAATTTTCTGTTATCAAGGGGCCCATTTAATTAACAAACACATGCAGCCACATACCTGTATTCCATCTGTTTGACTGAGGTACAGCTGGATGTTCACATAGTCAGGTCTGTTTTCTTGCCAAAGCTGATAAAACATAAAATTGAAAAGACTCATTTAAGTTCTTTTCAAGTACTCAGTTTCTACCTAGCATATGTGACTCAATAACACAAGAGATAATTTGGCTTATCATAGTAAATATAATAAAACACAAGTATTCATGGAGTTGATAGGTGATTAAAAAATACACAGACACACAGATGACAGGTGACAGGTTCTTACATTCCTAACTTGCTCTGATCTACTGCTGATATTTAGGGGTGGTGGTGGTGGTTGTGGTGGTGGAACAAAACAACCATCTACACTTAAAGACACATCATAAACCATGCTAAGCACTATCTTATACCTGTAAATCCTTTATTTTATTTTCTACAAGGCCCTACATTTTAATCCATGCCTTCACCCAGCAAAACAAGGAATTTTCATTAAAAAAAGACAATAGGGATACAGAATTTTCATGATATGAAAACAAACCTGAAGAAGAAAAAGTAAACCTGTACCCATGCTTTACACTCATCCACTGCTGACTTTCCTCAAGGAAAACTGAATGAGGCAAGAGATACACTGGCAAAGCAGTCATCTAGAAAAAGTGAAACACCAGCTTTTCCTTTTCCTCTCTCACCTGGAAACGATTATTCCACATTAACTAACTACAAAGTGAACTATTCCAAGTACCTCATGTAAATGGTGCCATAACGTATTTGTCCCTTCACATGTGGCTTCCATTACTTCAATTATCAGAGTATTTCCAGGGTCCAACCAAGTTTTAGCATGTGTGGGAATCCTCTAGTTTTTCAGGTTAAATAATTTTAATGTATAAATACACTGCATTTTGTTTTTCCATTAGGCATATATGAGATGTTTGCATATTTGGAATATTGTGAATAATGCTTCTAAGACCACTTTGTAAGAGTCTACATCTCCAGTAATACTAGATTTGTATTTAAAACTCTTTTTTCCAAACAAAAAGTCTGCTTTGCCTAGAGTACTACAGGCACCCACACATACATGAATACAGATGCATGTATAAAACACGTGCACACACACCCCTACATAGGCACACATGCACACAACTCTCCTGTTGCATCTCTTGCCTTTTCTTGTTAAAGACCTCCCCTCTCTTCTTCTATTGCATTAAGCATATGACTGAATGGCAGCACTTCCTGGAATGTTGGGTCCCCTGTCTTGACTTTGTTACCAAGATTTTTGACTAGTCTGTATCATAAGAGCACTTGGTTTGGTGGACATACTTAAACACACTCCTTAAATAAACAGACCCTCTGTCAACAATATTGATATGCTTCTAATTTCCTTTTCTTTTTGGCCCAAATTGGAATCACAGAATTAGAGAATCCTGCACATTACTGGTTTAGTTGTCTATCCTACTACTAATACAATAAAGATAAAAAGCTTGGCTTTATTTTGTTACCTGATAGATCTTTAGCTCCTAAGACAGATCCTATTCACAGTTGATAGTTAATGATATTTGCTGGATGATATCAAGACTGACTCCATGAAGAAAAACATATTGTAATGAAGCATGTGAATGATAATCAATGAAGAACTTTTTACAGTTACAAAGAGGCCATAATTAAGGAATTGATAAGTAAGTCAGTAACAGGGAGCCATGAACTTCTCCATATCAGTAAAGACAATAAATTGATTCTATGCTTACTCAGAAAAACAACATTTAACATGTAGCAATAAGCCAGGCAGTGATGGTACATGCCTTTAATCCCAGCACTCGGGAGGCAGAGCCAGGCAGATCTCTGTGAGTTCGAGGCCAGCCTGGTCTACAAAGCAAGATCCAGGAAAGGCACAAAGCTACACAGAGAAACCCTGTCTCAAAAAAAAAAAAAAAAAAAAAAAGATGTAGTAGTAAGTTTTAAAATAATTTGAAGAAAAATATAAATAATATGCTAGAACTTTCATAATTATAGTGACATAGACTTGGTAGGTAAATTAGCAAGAGAGATTTAACTTTATTCAATAGATTTGATGTATCTGTAGCAAGTACTTCACATGTGTAATACTGATAGAGGTTTTACATATACAATTAAAATAAATATAGGTATAAAGGAATGCAAAGTACTACTGGTAGGACAGGTGAAGAATGCATATCATTTCTGAGTAAGAAATGAAAAAAAAGACTTTTAATTGTGTATAGTGGATCAAGAAACATGCTGACTATAATATTAAAACAAAAATATGGGACAAATTTATTGTAACTGAGCTCAGAAGATCCTGTAGTGTCTCTGATGGTCCTTTCATCTCTCTTCTCTCATCCCTTCTAGCTATGTGCACGTACAACTATGTTGAGTGTTTTATGTTATAATGCAGAAATTCATGTTCAGGTATGTTATAGAAAGACATATATTAATAAACATTCACATCTCAGAAGGTGTAAGTCTGCTTTTATTAGATGTTACCTTTTGTTTTAGATTTAAGAGATCTTTTTATTCTATAGCAAGCATTTTTTGCTTTTAAAATATAAAAATAAATACTGTTTAGAAAATGACGTAAGTAAAAAAATAAAAACCATCCTGATGTTACCTTGTTATGCAACATACAGAGTAAGTCTGCAAACCACTGGAATGATTGGATGTCTCTGCACACCCAGATAAAGTACAGTCTTCTTAGCTTGTACGGCTTCCAGTCATCCCTTTAAAATCAATAGAGTGAAGCTGTGACTGGTACTGCATAAACAGTACAAAATCCACATATTCTCAAAGAGTTTCATTCATAAGGAACCAACAGGGAGCAAACAAACACACCCAAAACCCAGCTACTTCCAAGTCAGTATGTTACACAATATTTACTGTTACTGTCCGTTATGGTAAACAATACATTGACTTACGATGTCACCAACTGCTAAATTTGTTAACATTATATACCCATCACCTGTTTCCACTTCAAGACCAGAAATTGAACTCTTGGATCAGAAGAACACTGGCTCATGAGTCCCAGAAAAACAAGCTCTCTATTCTAGTGAACTGTATCATTGTGCAGGGATCAAAAGGTCATTTCATTCGGACTTGCCCTCACTTTTAGGCAAAAACCATTCCAAAAACTTGGTTGTTTATCCATTTCATAATAATCATTTAATAAAGATTTCACAACCACACACTATGTAATACATTCCAGTCACTTTCAATTCCAAGTCTGGATGCCTACTTATGACTATGAAGCAGTCTTGAGGTTAAGAAAATGTTCCATTTTTCATAATACTAAGTATCAAAATAACTTGTAATGTGTTGTCAGAAACAAATGATTTCTGGATTGGAACATGCTTAATTTTGTAAGAGTCTCCAACATGTCTCCAAATCACATCCTGTATAATATTTGAAAGTGAAATAAAATATTATTCAAAAATAGCTTTCATTTATGAGTTTTGGTCTAGATGTGTAGCCCAAGCTTATCTATTTGAATTCTTGACCCTCCTAACTAAGCCAAAGGAATATTGCTGCTGCAGCTGCTGCTGATGTTGCTACTGCTGTAGCTGCTGCTTCTCCTCCTTCTCCTCCTCTTCCTCTTCCACTTCTCTGGAAAGAAGAAGGCTGAGTCAGGAGACACCAGCCAGATACCCAAGGAGCAGCATGTAATGGGACACAGGTAAAGCCAGGGAACGTGTCTGTACATAGATTAATAGTTAAGGGGTAATTTGAGATACAAGAGCTAGCTAGCAAAAGGCTTGAGTCATGGCCATGCAGTTATAATTAATATAAGCCTCTGTGTGTTTATTTGGGGAATTTGAGTGGAGGAGATTTGTCCAGACAGCCAGCAGGCCAGGACACAGGAAATCTTCCAACTACAGGATTAGAACATGTTTTTTTGTAGGAGTCTCCAACATGTCCCCAAATCACATCTTGTAAAATATTTGAAAATAAAATAACATATTATTCAAAAATAATTTTCATTTATATTATGTGTTTTAGCCAACTATGTAGCCCAAGTTTATCTATCTTGAATTCTTGACCCTCCTAACTAAGCCAAAGGAATATTGCTGCTGCAGCTGCTGCAGCTGCTGCTGCTGTTGCTGCTGCTTCTTCTCCTTTTCCTCCTCCTCCTCCTCTTCTTTTTAAAACATTCCCTCACACATTTTAACGTGAATTTTGTCTACTTGAGACGTTAATGGAAGCGATCTGGAAGCACCTTTTTGCTGTCACTTTCTGTTTTTATGGTGATGAATTAACCTTTGTTTATAATTCTGGAACTAAAATACTAAGAATATTTCCCAGTTGGGCAATCTCAACTTTGACATTTCTTTTCTTCAGTCTGTTCCAAATTTGCTAATAAATGAAGGGATGAGGTGATGATATGTTCATCATCTTCTTATAAAAGTTTTTCCTGATCATACTCTTATATTACCCCAGACGTTTGTTTTTATACTCTTCAACTTTTTTTGGCTTATAAGTTTTCTTTTATTAAGTTCTTTCAAACATGTATATTTAATGCATTTTGGTCACGCTCCCCCCAATCCTATCCTCTCTCCCTCCATCACTATCAGCTCTCCTTACTTTCCTTTCAGTTCTTTACCTAAATTCATGACTTTTGGTTTTGATCTGTGATCCATTTAATTTAACCAAAGCCATTTGTGTGACCACAGGATTAAACTGTCCATTGGAGCCTGACAATGACTCTCTCTCTCCCTGAGTCTATCAGTAGCATGTAGTTTGGCAATGAAGGGTAAGACCACCAGAGCCCCTCCTTCATCCACACCTTACTATTGATATACTCATTCTTCTGCAGTCTCAGAGAGGCATAATTGCAATTTTGTATTATCCAAAAGAGGACATTTCAATCAATGACTCTATAATCTGTTTTCTTTCTGCCTCCCTCTTCTAAAATACTGATTCTTAGTTTTTCTTTGTGTTTGATATTTTCAGAAATAATCCACTGTATCAATTTGTTACTTTATTTTAAGTTGCCCTGATTGAATGTAAACTTTCTAACAGAAGAGTCTACATTTTCATTTATTGTTTTATCCCCAGCAACTCTAAGATTAATTGGCATAAGATCACCCCAAAATAATTTTTGACCAAATGAATGAACAATGGTACCACCCTGAGGTCAAGAAAGAGGTCTGGAGGTGAGTAACTCTTCACAGGAAAAGAAGATGGATTTCTTTTTACAGGGAGCATGCTGGGAGCTACAGACCATGTACTGAGAGTTACTGAATTTTTCCCTTCACTAATTAGGAAATGGAATTTCTTGGATAGTGAGAGGGAAAACTCTCTAAAAAACAACTTTCTATGTAAAGTAGAACTGTTAGAATATTGGTATTTCTCTATTTATAGTAATAAAATAAATCAAAGTGACATACAGCAGAGTGTTTAGTATCGATGCGAATGGAGTGACCCCAATGCCCCCGGCCACACAGAGGCTAACTTCATAGTTCAGCGACTCTTCAAATGGACTTCCAAAAGGACCATCAACGTACAACCTAGGGAAAAAGGCAGACAAAGGTTGGAAAAAAGAAAATAAATTAATTTCCTATAACATTTACCATTCATGCTGAATCCAAATTCTATATATTATAATGGCTCGGGCCTTATTTCATTGTTTTTTTATAGTGACAAGTCCAAAAGAACAAGCAATCTGTTTAGAACTACTGGTAGTAAAACAAGAACTTCCTTCCACTTCTAAACTAAATAAAAGTTTAGGAAAGTGTAGGAAAATCTATTCTGCAAAAGTAGTGATCAGTTAAAGCTCTGGTCATATTTCATTGTAATAACTGACAAAATGAAAATACTAGTCTATTCACTATGTTGAAACTGAATAGTGTATCTTTCAGTAGCAAATACTCCACCAGACATGTTTACTCACATATACTCTATGGGGACAGAAAATCACATGAGGAGATTCTAACATTGTTCCCTTTCTTGCTCTAGTTAAATTAATAAATACAGGAAATAATGAAGAAATCACAATAGAAATTGTCGTTCCTTGGTGGGTGCTTACATAAGTGTGTGTGTGTGTGTGTGTGTGTGTGTGTGTGTGTGTGTGTGTGTGTGTGTGTGTAATACTATCCTTAACTTCAAACAGGAATCATGAATTGTCTACTTAGTATCCATCCTTCTTTTCTTAATAACAGAACATTAATTTTATTCAGGGAAGCAAATGTCCAGTCAAAACACTGCATTTCTCAAATTCCATTCATTTGTTTTGACTGTGTGGTTATTTTGGCAGATGTTGTACAAGTGAATTTGGAACTGGAAAGGCTCCTTATGAAAAGCTGTCTCACTTGGGTGCTGTGATTCTTCCATTTCACCTTGCCTTCTGCATCCTCCATGTCTGAAAGGTTCACTTTTATGGTCAAAAGTGTTATCTGTGATGATTTTAAAATGACTGTACTTTTATGGTTTGTATCATTTCAGATATCTTGATAAGAAAAAAAGATAGACCCTATGTATATAAGACACTGCCATTTTATAACTTTTCTCCATTATTTATCTTTTCAAGTAGTATACCTGTATAGAAAGTTGTCTACATATCATTTATATTTGGGGGGCACTTAAATAAACAGCCACCTAAGACTATCACATGTGGAGTAAATGGTTAGGTGTCTGTCAAATTATGTAAAAATCAATTCATTAATAAACATTTCTTAGAATTCTGGGCTTCACAGTACTTACTCATTACTTATATGTGATGTTGCTTTTAACTTTTACACAAATGACTTTATTTTCCGGGTATCTGTGAGTGTTTTGAGTCATATGGATAGTTCTAGATACAAGCAATTTGTTATTTCTGTGACAAGCATATGTTGTTTCCCATCTTTGGTAACTAAAAACCATGTGTTGGCCCAGAAATGAGAAACAGACTGAATCTCTGCATTGTTGCTTGAAGGATGCCATCTTAGAGATTTACTGCATCCACAGAGGATGCTGCATCACATTGCACCACATTGCTGTGCTATTCCAAGGTTAACTGTTCACACTGACAGAACTTAGGCCACCCTAGGAAATACAGGTATGTTATCCTGAGAAAAAACTTGCTAATGTTGCTTTTGAAAAATAATGTATGTAGTGAAGGAAGAAATGAAAACCGCTTTTTACCTAAAGAAACAATCACCAAAGTTGATATGTGTAATGTAGGAAGAAACTCTACTACTAAATACCTTACCTAATTATATATGTACAATTCTTATTCTATTTAACTTACACCTTACATTTACTCAACAAACATGAACTCTGTGTGAATTATGTGTATGATGATGATGTTTTTGTTTCAAGACCAACAATTACTTGAGACTCACCCTATAAATTTTTACATTTCAATCTGAATGCCACATCAAATGAGTGAAATAACAAATAAATTAATTGAATGCACTGATATTATATGAGGAGATCTTCTTGACAAACTTCAGCAATAATATTTATACTTTATTTCATCAACAAATAAGTGAGAGGAAACATGAAAGACTTTTGCTAATTGTCTGCTTCCAAAACAACACATCCTCCTCCCTCGCCACACAGCTCTTCTCTGGTGTTTTGTAATATCTTTGAACATGAACACTAGAACTTGAAGTTCCAGTCATTTACTAGGAATGAGATCACAGATGAGAGCTACTTGACCTCACTCAAATTCATTTCGTTCATCTATAAAAGAGACAAGATACGATGACACAGAGAAAACCTGTTAGGAATTGTAGAATGCAACACAAACATCAGTGATAGTTTCTACTTATGATATCAGTGTATAGTATGCTAGTCGGATGAGGCACAGCATAAACAGAAGAAATGGACTAAGCTCAAAACAAGACGGGGATGGTAGGGATTTGCTATGATGGATCTCTGAGAATCAGTAGCTTCTCATTTGAAACACTTTTAACAATTTGTTATAAATTGATATATTGAATCATAAGTCATATATATAAACGAGGTCCCATGTAATATTTTGAAACCTGAATTTACTATGAAATATTTTAATCAGCTTAGTCATATATAGTTCAAACGTTTATTGCTTTACTACTGTGAATATATTCAGAATCCTTTATATTATCTTTAAAAGTATACAGCACCCATTACCTTCTGTTACCTGACTGCACAGCAGCACAGAAGAACCTTTGATTCTTAACTGTATGTTAGTACTTTGATTCTTAACTGTAAGTTAGTATCCAATGCTAAGTCTCCCACCATTATACACACTACACACACACACACACACACACACACACACACACACACACACACACAGTGCTCAACCAATGGTCAAGGGAAAGGATGATTACACAATCACTAGTCACCTGATGAGACCTAGTATACCTTGGCTTTCATTATTAATAGTAGTGGCCTTTAGTACCTAGATTTTACCACTGTTATATATGTGACAAGATTATAGAGATTAAATGCAAGTGTTCACTTCTACAAAACTGCAACTGAAATATGGACTTATTTTTAAAATTCAGTTGATGAATGATGAAACATTCTATTATGAAGAACAGCATATCTAAAAGAAGGAGCCATATATTTCCATGGCTCACCCCAAACTACATCTGCATACTCTACATTTTACTAAATGTTTTCCCTTAAATAGTTCCCACTCTTATTTTCTAAATTGTTTGGTTGTTTGTAAAGATGGAGCTGATTAAACAGTTATTTGAAGTAGTTCTCAAAAGTCTTCTCTCCTGGCATTTGCTGTTGCCTCTCTAAATCAGACCGATATTACAGCAAATTAACGATGGATTGCCTCTGACAATCTGAGGAGAAAGATAGTTGTGTAATTAGGAAATGTCCTTATTTACTTTTTAAAGCAGAGGATAATCATGACAGTTCTGACTCCTCAGACCCTTCCAAGCACCAGGCCACTTGCTTCTAAGACTTTACCTTTTTGAATGCCACATGCAAGTTCATCTTTTCACAATGACTTAATGCTTCATTTAAGTAATGTGATATGCCTTGGGCTGTTTTGTACCACTGTAATAAAATTCCTGGTATTGAGTAATATATACAGAAAAGAAGAAAAAAAAACTCCACATTCAATTTATATTTCTACTTTATTATATCTTTATTATATTCAATATACATTTCTACTTTAAGTACCGAATAAGCCTTTTAACATGGAACTTTGATACATAGCATACTTTAAAAAATTATATTATTATTACTAATAGGATATTATTACTAATGACAAATATTTATAATCTGTATGCAACCATTTTATGCTATTATAAAGCATACTTTTAAAAATTATTTACATTTCTTTTTTTTAAGACTTGATATTTTTATTCATGTGTGTGTGTGTGTGTGTGTGTGTGTGTGTGTGTGCGCGCCTGTGTGCCTGTGTGCATGTATGCATGTCAAATATGCCACGTGTATGCAGCTGTCTTTGAGTGCAGAAGAGGCAGCAGAGTCCTTGGCACTGGAGTTACAGGTGATTGGTTTTGTTTTTGTTTGTTTGTTTTTTGAGGCTTCTCTTCTAAAATGTTTTGAATTAAAAAAAATCAACAAATATTTGAGTTTTAACTCAGAGCCTAAAACAAGATATCATCAAAATAAAAACTGTTTATTTAAAAGTTTAATCTGTCCCAGAAGCTGTACTGATTATTCTATACATACCTTCAATCCAGAATCACAAAATAAGTTACAGCAGGCAAAATAAATTTCCATTTTATTGTAATGGGAATTTAGACTCCATGACATCAAGAGATTTTTCCTAGACCACAATTTCTATTTAAAGAAAAGATCATTCCTAAATTCCTTTTGAATGTATCTCCAGTAGCCCTTTCCTTAATGACTAGACATTAATCATGTCAGTCAATCACCACTTATTTTGGTTAGGGAAATAAAGGGCACACAGTCCTAGACCATCCATCAGGTAACAATTTCTTCTTCATCTGGGAGAAAAATGATTATGATTAACTACTCCCCAGGAGAAGATGGATTTGCAGTTTAGATCACTCAGGAGATAATTACATCAGTAAAAGCCGTAAAAAGTGGCCAGGGAGCATTAAAAGCCTGAGATGGTCTTCAAAAACTGTCTTGCTTTAATGGATTGCAAACTAACATGTGCATCAGAATTTTTTGGAGGTCTTAATAAAACACACAGATCTGGGCCCTACCCCTAGATTCTCTATTCAAAGTTAGTATCCAGGATAAAAATAAGACATGAAGCACTAACAGCATCCCTGACACCCCCAGCAGAGCTGAACTGCTGCAGGTGATTATTTTACATACAGTGATCAGAGGAGGTCCCCGAAGCCCGTAACATTTGGATTAAAACTTTGTAGAGGACCGAGACTTAACCCAGTGGTAAACTTCAGTAAAACACTTGCCTACCTAGGAGGCGCTGAGCCTGGAAACACACAGGTACAAAAGAAACAAGCACAGACCTTGTTAGGAGATTTGGATAGCAAAATACACTTAAGGAAAGGAGCACTACTAGTAAATTGTTGAGAAATCCTTCACAAAAACCTTTCATCACTCAAGAGTCTATAAGGATAAACTTTTTCTGGGAAGGAGCTGCCCTAAAACAAGCATATTCTTGAAATTATATTCTTATATCCATTATGAATTAACACATTTAACTTAAGAATGGCTTTGAACTTACATTCATTTATAGAATATACTTCATCAACTGTTTCTGAGGACATAGATTAACTCTGATAACTTTCTGTTTGTCTAGAGCTGAGAATATTTTTAAAGAGTGATAAATAAACAATGTTATGTTAAAATGGGGTCGTTTCTACCCAAGGATATCAACGTGGGATATTTAAGATATTTTTTCTTCTTTCCATGTTGGGAATCAAAGACAAGGCTTCACACATGCCATGTAGCACTTTATCACTGAAACACAACCAACCTAGATTTTTAAGATCTTTTCACAAAGGAAGAGTTTCAGGACAATCTACTAGTCAGAAACAAAACCAAAGACCCCAACAAACAAAAACTTCATAAGCCTAAAGTCCACTCACACTTCAAGGTGTCTGGCAGGTAATAATAAGAGAGGAAGGACAACCTAGCAAAGCCAGTGTCTCTCAAGGATGCAGATGCCAAATCACACATGCACATCTCTTTAGACACACCTGCATCCTCAGACATCAGGCTAACCCTCCAGCCAGGTGACTCACATGGCTTCTCTGGAACCAGTTCTTATGAGTAAGTCTGAGTTACTCTGTCAGTCACTAAGGTGCCCTCTTGTTTGCTTATTGACTTTGAACTACTAGCTCCTTGACTTATTGTATCTCTTAAACAGAACCTTAAAATGTTATCAGTTTTTTTTTTTTTTCAAAATCTGCTTCAGTTTTTGTAAAATCATTTGATTTTAGTGGTCTGTCAGGTTTCTAAAGTTCCAAAGACTGGAGAATTTAATTGTGACTTGAATCTCAGGGGCTGTGGAACTTACTACCTGCTAATATTATAGAGTAACTCCCTATTGACATATTGCTTCTCTAGGCTACAGAATACCAGTAGCACCAGGAATACTCATGATTAGATTCTACAAACAAGTCAAAAATTTACTATTTTCCGTTCTCTTGCCAGCTAGGTATTAGAATGCCACCAGTACAAATGTCCACAATGTAGGGATGAGAAGACAAGAGATAATAATTCTTGTTTTGTTTATTAATTTAAAAAGATTTATTTTATTTTTGATTTTGTGTGTTTGCATGTCGGTGTAGATATGTGCATGTTGCAAGTGCAGAAGTTTGTGGAAAGTCTGAGGTACTAGAATCCTTATAGACTGTTGTGAGCCACATAACGTGAATACTGGGAACCAAACTCAGATCATCAGCAAGAGCATGAAGTTTCTTTCTTTCTTCCTTTCTTTCTTTCTTTCTTTTTTTTTTTTTTTTAAGATTTATTTATTTATTATGTATACAGTATTCTGTCTGCACATATCCCTGCAGGCCAGAAGAGGGCACCAGATTTCATTACAGGTGGTTGTGAGCTACCATGTGGTTGCTGGGAATTGAACTCAGGACCTTTGGAAGAGCAAGCAGTGCTCTTAACCTCTGAGCCATCTCTCCAGCCCCATGAAGTTTCTTTCTTAACCATTGAGTCATTTCTATAGTCCCAACAATGAAAGCTAATATTAAAAGAGTCTATGTATTGTAAAGAACATCATGAATAGTTGTGGCTGTGGAAATTTCTAGAATAGCACCAATATCACATAGGCAGGGACACAATAGAAAGGGCTTCATCCTGACTAATCATCCTGCAAAGAGATCCTATGAACAGGTCTTCTTTCTTGGGAAGAACAATGCTCCCTGTGACAGTAAGTCGACCTCACACAGAGATTTCTTGCTGCTCTGAGGCAAGGCTTAGGGTTGAGAAAGTGCAGAAGAGAGACAGAAATAAGGATAGGATGAGCATTCTTTATAAAGGCCAGGGATTTTACACCATTTTCTTCAATATCATAAAGCTGTGCAAAATACAATTAGAATAAGCACTGTGCCATCCTCAAATTAGTGTAAAGAGGAAGCATCTCTGTTATTTCCAATCAAAATATAGGAGAAAAGAAAGTTACTCATAGAAACTGTCACTCATTTCCCTTCATGAGGACAGTAAAAAGGCTTGCAGTCACCCCAAATTCAGACTGCTCCATTTCTTTCCTCTTCACCTGTCTAGTCAGTAACCTCTACATTTTGTTAATTATGCCTCCAGACAGCCTATGATGGCAACTGAATATTTCATATCACCAGCACGTCATGGATCTTTTATGGCTTGCTACCTGAATGTGAAGTTTTTAAATGGAGATTATGTTTCTTACTTTTGATCCATGGTAAGCGTATGAAAATATAAATAAGTTTTTATTCTCATTGCCTAAAGCCTCCTCATGATTATCTACTGCCATCGTAACAAAGCCCAAATTCCTTTAAATGGCAAACCAGATTGAACCATCTTCATTTCTCTATATATTCTCCTCTCTGGAGTGTGCCTATAGATGTGTGTACCACACAGTTATCAAACAGATGGTGGTGTTCCTCAAGCATTCCAATGACTTCATATACTGTATACTCCTGGTTTTCACTAAATAACCTCGCATCTGGACAATTTTACTCAAGGACAAATTTAAACTTTATATACTTAGATGAGCACTTCTTTTTTCTTCTTCAATATAATTCAATATTCTACATATGCCTCAACACATTGGTATGATCTATACATTAAGCTGACTCTGCTTTTCCCTCTGGGGATTCTAGGTCCCTCAAGTACATAAACTGTACCCTAGTCATTTTTATATTATTGGTAATTATGATTGGAGTGTTATGTGGTATGTATTCAATACATGTTTGATGAATGGTTGGATAAAAAGATGGATGGATGAATGAATGGGAGTCAGTATAACATAATTAACTGTAAGTTTGGATTACAGAGAACCAAGGACACCACATGACTTAGTCATGACACTTACTTGTTTTCTTATCAATCCTTTGACATAAAATATTGGAAACTAACAATAATAGGGAAATGAGAAAGATTTTATGGAATTATTCACTTAAAATGCATAGTATAATTCCTACATAAATATGTTCTATATGTTACTAATATTTCATTATTATCAATGATAATAAAAGTTTGGTAAAATTATATTACTCATAAGTGAACAAAAACTATTGGAGAGGGAGAATTTCTAGAAATAGAACTCTAGATACAGAGAAGAGAAAGGAAGATTATCTGGTTAAGAGATGAAACCTGACAAGGTCATCTGAGGACTAATGCTTTAGAGATATTACCCAATATTATCATTTGAAGATGTTTTTAAGCAGTCAGTTGGGAAATGAGACTGGGTTGAGACACAGATTTTACTGTCCAAACAATTAAGGTTGTTCTTTGGCAGTCGAGCCAAAGAACAATTCTGAATTCTATCATAAATAACATTCCTCTTCATAAGCAGTGGATGCTGAGGTAGGTGGTTAGCTGCTCACAGGGCTCAATCCTTGGGAAAGCGAGTGGAAGTAATTTCTTCCTGTGTTTTCACAATACCTTGTATATATCTGCAGTAAACAACCTTCCAGAGCTTCGGGGTCACATTTTGTTGACTTACTTATCCAATTTAATGTCCACTCTAAATTATGTCAAATCTCCTCAAACATTTTGCACATACAAGCTTTTTTTTAAGTAAGGACAAGAATATAAATCTAAAAATCCTTCAAATATGTATCATAAGCCAACATCTTTTCAGATCTAATGATGGTGACCCGAGCAGAGGCCGAGCAATCCACGTTGTTACTCCTGCTTCTTTCCTCTAAACTACACATCCAGATGTACTTTGCAGTACGTGTTCTTTTTCTAAAGTCATTTGTTTTGTTCTTATAACCGTCATTTCTATTCAGGCTCTGAGAACTTCTATAGAGCAATGTCTGTGCTTGAGTTCTGGAGAGCAGATACCCCTGGTTTTGGCAATGGGTTAAATGAGAGTTCACGAATTTAAGGATGTGATTAAGAAACTTTGTTAAATTTTAGAACAGTATTCCTCAGAATCATTAGGAAATGCTTTTCAAATGGCTTTCCCTTAGTATTCCTTTCTCTATGTTGTCTTTCCTTCACATACACAAACAGACATTTCATTAATAAATCACCTTTTCTACTTCATGGGTATTTTTCTCCCTAAGAATGCATTTTTATATTCTCTGTTTGTTAGATTTTTCATGTTCAAAGAATGCTAAAGATTACAGGAAGCCATGCAACCTAATTGGAGTCCACCCAAATTCCCAAATCTTACAACATATATTAGCTAGAGAATTATGTGTATATGTTGGGTATGGTTTGCTCCATAGATATTGCCCTTTGTATGTAAAATAAGGTAGACAATATATTTAGGTCATACGACATATTTCTGACCAAAAAAGTTCATTACAATGAATCAACAAAAGAATTAAAAAATCAAGGACAATCTCTATGTAAATACTCCTCCTTTAATTTAAAGAATAGAAAATAGAGAATAAGATGAATAGCTACCCACTGATGATACAGCATCACTATAGAGGAGGCTCATTGCTTGCACAGAGAAGCAACTCCCCACTCACAGCTCAGTGTACTTAGAAGCAGAGCTTGGTCTTCTGCATCATTTGTGAAGAGCCAAAGGTCATACATTACAAGTGAGATCCTAATTGGTTAGGCTAGGTCACTCAGGAATTTTACAAATCCCACAGAGCAATTGTACTGCACCTTCCTTGCATCAGTTTCTGCCAGCATTTGACCCTTCCCTTCTCAACACCCAGGGAACTTCCATTACTTACTTGGGGTAATTTCTAGATTGAATGAAGGGCAGAATCTCAGAGTCTTGGCTAGATGGAGGCAGTAGTAAATCTCGGAATCGTTCTGTCAAATGAAAAAATAATAATAATATCAACTGTGAAAAATCAGTTATGAAAGCACTTTCAAAAGAAAATTGGTTCTTTCTACTCTCTGCATATATTTTTATGAATAAAATAATATAGTAACTGAAAATATTTTAAAAAGTATATTCTTTGGTATGGACTTGTAAAATCTTGTCACTGAAAGGTCAGAAAACAGACATATGACATTAAATGTAAGAGTTGTACACTGTTACTAATTTGGGTAATATGAATTAAAAAACACCAATCATAGCTCTCACATTACATGGCAGGCATTTGGTAGAAATTAGTGTCGTAAGATCAATGTTAGGACCAAACATGTCATCATACACTGCCAATAATAAAGCAGTTACAATAGCATGGGAGAGTGATTTAGGATTGTCCTGAGAATGTGAACTTCGCATTGACTATTGCCAAGTATTTCCTTTCCATACCCTGTGTTCCACATGTGACTTGGTAGCAAGTATGAGGGTATTCACAGCAACATTTTTGTAATAACCATAAACAGAAATATCTAAATTTCTCATAAACATGAGAATGAGCAACCCGTGCTTTATCCATATAATAGAATATTTACTAATTGAAGTGAAGCTGAATGCTTTCACTTGTAAATAAAAACTGAATCACATTAATAAACTCTTGAGGGGGAAATATACTCAATATCATTTTATCAAGACAGAAAGCAATGAAATAATGCACTTTTTCAGCACATTATATATAAACCCAAAGAAACCAATGAAAACAGGAACGATGTAGTCAATTACATTTCATGTTAACTTTTAAGAAGAGATAGAAGTATTCAGTAACAGAGAAGCAAAAAAGTCACTGTAATTGTTAATACTTCATATGCACTAATTATGTTATAATGAATGTTTCTAATGTACTAATTACTATTAAATGTACTAATTACACTATCGTGATAACTAAATGAATGAATTTAGCGTAATCAAATGAAGAGAGCAGGCCATGAACTAAGATTTAGATTAATGGACTTCGGGGCATTTAACGTTCAAAATGAAGGCAAAGAGGAAGTATGACAGAAGAGAGGGATGAATCCTGTCTAAGGCTATCGTAGCAATACTAACACTGTCTAGCTGCATGCTGTAACAAAAACTGGGTAAGGTAAGCCATCATGATTCATTAGAGAACAGTTGGTCACTATAAACCAGGAAATCCAGAGAATGAGTACTCTGACCACTTACACAATCAAGCTGCAGTAGTGTGCTAAACTAAAATTGCTATGCTGCTGCCCATCCATTACAGTGAAGGTGATGAGCTCTCTCCCTGAAACAGTAAAAATCTACGCTTGGTCACTGTGCTCCTTCCCAGTGACAGAACGTTATATGTAAAGTCACTGTAAGAATAAGCAGAAGGCCACAAAGTATTGCTGAGAAAAGAGGCATACAACTTATTTTCACATTGCTCAACCAGAATCATTTCACAGGTTTCCATTTTGTTTTTGTCTTGTCACTCGGTCTACACAACACACTTGGAGGGGAAGTAGAAGGATCCAAGAATGGCATTAGGTTTCTGGGTCTATGCGGAAGTGTAGAGTTCCAAAGCTACAGTACCCATTTTTTTCCTCTTGTGTATTTACTCTTTAATTCGAATCCACATTTTTGTAAAATAAACTAATATTAACTACTGTTATATTGTTATTTTTTAATCTATGAAGTTAATACTTTTTCCAATGAAATGATAATAGCTATTTTTTGAAATTTGTATGTTTTCTTCTTTTAACATTATTTCTTTTATTATTTAGGATTAAAATTAAACCATTTCCCCTTCCCTTTCTTCCCTCCAAACACATCTATTTACACCCTGTGGTAGATAGCTGTTCTGTCTATGACCTTGAAGCACCAATCCTAGAGATGCAGCAGGTAACTGCTCCACCTGTCTATGATTTTGAGGTGCATGTCCCTGGGGCATGGCCTCTCATTGGACCCCTAAGACCTGAGATGCACTTAGACATCTCTAACCACCTCCCCCCAACTCCATCACAGGACTTGGATGCAGGATTGATTCAGGAAGCCAGAACAGTGTTCCAGAACCTGTGTCAATTCTGTTCTGTACACTGAGATTTTCCCCTTAATAAATATTTTGTCCTTAAAACAGACTCTGTGGATTTCTCGCTATAATACCCCTTGCTCTCTTTCAAATTCATGGCTTCTATTTTTTGATGATGCATGACCTTGACTTTTATTTTAAATTAATACTTTGCAGTTTACCAGGTTCCAAGTATTTTAGCCATTCAATCCTTTTCTAAAATAGATCCTAAAAATAAAACTTAAGACCAAAAGAACTCAAGAACTTTATTTATTATGCAAATGAATGTTTTGTCTAAAAGGTATAGCAGATTCATTGGGAGCTAAAAGTATGAACTGAAATTTGGAGAATGATTTCCAAGTACCTTAAAACCAAAAAACCAAAAAAGTGAATTCTTAATGCATTTTATTCTGCTCTAAGACATTATTTTCCCAGTCTCTTTTTATATATGTCTCCAAACCATCTGATTATAAACCCAAGGTTAAAAGTTTCTGGTTATAATACTGTAGAAATAAATAACAATGTACAAACATAAGCATAATAAATTCAAGGAATCCTAAGTGAACATTATCAAAAATCTTTCAGCTGTCATGCATGACTGTTAAGAAAAGTTCACAGATGCAAAATACATATGCACTACCTTGATATTTTGTCTTTTTAAAATTTTTATTATTATATGAATAGATTCCTAAATGTGATCAGCTAGGATTTCCCCCCTCTATTCAAGTATATTCACTGCCTATGTTTGTTCTTTATAAAAATAATGATAAATTATGTGTGATGCTTTAGCCTCTCAGATTCCTGTCATCAATTATCAGCTGCCATCTCATTCTTCATCTGATTCCCCAGAAGACATTTTAGTTTTCATTTGCTGAGAAAGAAAAGTAAAACACTACTTCTCATGCAGCAAAATGCCAACTCAACATGCATTCTCAGTTGACACATGCTTTCCTTAGAAAACAGCAGTTTTCCAACATTACTGCTCAGACCTTTCACAGGGCATCTTAGAGGAAGTTGTTAAAGCTACTGACAAGAACCAAGGGACTTGTTGCCAAGCCACTGAAATGAGTTGACTAATGAGGTAGAGATGTCTGGAGGTGATTTTCCACCAGTTGAGATTCCTTAATTGACACAAACGTCTACAGACTTTCAACTTCTTTTTTCTCTCTAGCTCAATCAACAATAAAGGCCTGGAGGACATCCTATACATAATTATATTAATGTGCACAGTATAGATAATCATTTATGACACAATATAGCTAATTATTCAAGAAAAAAATATTTCCCAATTTAGAAATTTTGTTTTGATACTTTTACTATGTCCCAGTTTCATGTCACCTTTCAGAGAAAATGATCAATCTTCCAAGTATTGGCAATGTGTAGTATATTAAATACAACAGGGATTTGTGTAATAACAATAAAAAATGAAAATCTATTCCTGTTATTAAAATGAAAGATTCCTATCACCTCAAAGAAGAGGAAGATGAAATGATTTAAGAGAAAAAACATGACACTAATGAATGCTATTCCTTTAGAACCTAAGAAGAGTCTTTTGATTACAGAACTTAATTAGTCTCCACAGTAACATCCTGGGAAGGAACTTATTTGCTGGAGAGACCCTGTCAGACAGATTTTAGCAACTTCAGATCATTGTGCTTCTGTAGGTGGTCTTTTTTCCTGTCAGCCTCACCATTATCTCCAATATAAAATGAATGCTTCACTTTGAATACTCAACCATCACAGGCATGGAAGAAAAGCTATGTAAAGCATCTCTCAAAGGTAAGAATATTGCCACAAAAAATGAGACACTTCTTATATTAATACATACAATTTTATTATTTTTCTTTTAATCTTTATAGTACATCTAATTTGCCAGTTTTAGTTGTCCCTTTCAAAAAGCACCCAAAGCAAATCCTGAAAGGACATTGAAGTTCCCCATGGCACATTTGATCTTAGTTATAAAGCTAAGTGGAATAAGTCAGGCATACAAGAAAATTGCAAGTAAGAGCCAGCCGTGGCTACACAGTGAGATTCCATTTTGAAAATGCATTTAAAAAAATTTAAAAAGAGAAAAATAAATGGAGGAATATAACAGTATTAGAAGTCATGTTGTCAAGGAAACAGACACTAGCTCCAGACATTATGAAATGAAATTGTAAAAGTGATTCTATTATGATACTTATGAGATCTTACATTTATTTTTTAATATAGAAAGTAATTATGTCAGTATAGATATGTGAACTTTGAGCTTTATAGCCAACTACAATGCAATGAGAGATATCTAGGATTGCTAAAATATTGCTGTGTACCTCAGGAAGCATTTCCAGATAGGATCCAAATGTGAGAAAACCAGAGGGTTTGGGGGAAATGCATGGCTGGGAGAGTGAAATGTTAGTGACACTTTGCAAGGAGCTGGCACCCTGGCTGAAAAAAGAAGTCTGAGGAAAACAGTGTTTGCAGCCTGTGCACTGTTTTTTTCTGAGTCAGCTCTCACACTGTGCTGCCACTACACTCCAGCGGCTTCACCCCTTTGGTGAACCATCAACACCAGCATCTTTCCAGGGAGCTTCAGGCCTGGATTGAGACAGCTGAACTTCCTGAACTGGGGAGCTACTTGGTTCTCTGCTATAGTGTTTAGACAGCACTTGTTGGATCACCTAGGACCTGAGGAATAAGCTTGATCTCTCAATCAATCTATGTATCAATCTATATATATATATATATACATATATATATGTATATATATATCATGTATCTTTATCTATCATCTATCTATCTATCTATCTATCTATCTATCATCTATCTATCTATCTATCTATCTATATTCTATTAATCATTTATCACCTGTTATCTATCTATCATCTGCCTATTAATGTATATATATAGATACAAATTCTTTTGTTACTTTTTTTATACTGTGGTATTTTTTACAGTGAT